TGTTATTATTATTATTATTATTAATATTATTATTATTATATTTATTATTATTATTATTATTATAATATTATAATATTATTATTAGTATCGTTATTATTAATATTATTATTATTATTATTATTATTATTATTATTATTACACATCATTTGTCCAAATTTCGCACGAAACGCTTTACTCGTCAGAGAAAATTCGTATAATTATATATATATTTTTTTCCAGTTCAATTTTCTCTCTGACTGCGACGAGATAACCTTCCTCGACGTTTTTTTCGAGAGTTCGAGTTGGCGCATCCTTGCACGGAGAAATCGAGAGGATCGTCCCAATCGAAAGGGGATGACGTTTCGTTGGCAAAACTTGGGATGGCGGTTATATACGCGACGCCATAAAAGACGGGCGTCCTCCCAGAGGACCGGTGCCTGCTTCAGAGCAGAGAGGGCTTTTGAAGCTGCCGAGTTAAGCCCAAAGCGTTCCCCTGGTGTTCGTAGATATCGAGCTGTGAAAAAATTGTGATAGATTCGCGCGGAGAGGGATCCGTTCGAGAGAGTTTTTCCCCCCGTTTTTTAATTAATTCATGGTATAAAAATGGTGGATCCTCCTCCTCCTCGGCTCGATCCGATCGATTAAAAAGCACAGCGAAAGAAAGCTTCGAAGTTCAAGAGACGAAAGAAAATTTGTTTCCGGAAAGTTCCGAAGTATGTACAATTAGACGACACTTTTTTGGACTTTTTCGCGGGTCGTTTATATATTTTCGCGATGTGTTTATTCTCGTTTCCTCTTTTTCTTTCTCTTTTCTTTTCTTTTCTTTTTTTCTCCCCTCTCTTTGTTTTGCGCAGTTTAAATCGACGATCGTCGTGTTTACGTCGTGGCACGCACAGTAAGTCTGGTTTCGATGGTGACCACCGTGACGACTGCTCGTTTCTTTTTTATATATATTTACATATATATGTATATGTATATGTGTATATACATATAATATATATATATNATATATATATATATATATATATATATACACATATACGTATGTTGCTTTGTTGTCCCTGTAACGATCATCCGATGTTTGCTTTCGTTTCAGTCGCGAAATATCTCTTTGTGAATCCTTTGCCTGTCCCGTTTCTCCCGAAATTTCGAGAAACTAAACACGCTCTTCCCTTCTTCTTCGAGATGTGTACAGGTGTTCCCGCCTTCCTATCATTCTATCTTCGTGGATAAGTTTCCTCCTTGTCGCGCAACACCTGTCCCGTCCCTCACTTGGGCCATCACAGACAATCATCTCATTTTCAGATTCGTAGTTCTCTCGAGTCCACCAAGCCGGTCGAGTCGCACTTGCGTTTTCACGGTTTAATAATCGATGCGCCTCCCAATGTGGAAGAATTCACGCGCAAACCCTAAGACGCCTGGGGGCGTCCACGTCACCGGACCACCGTCCAGGGTCCCACTTTGGCTAGCACCAGTCGTCTTCGTCGCTGTCCGAGTGTCTCGACCTGTTCAATAATGTGAATAATCAAAATCACACGATGATGATTAAATTATTAAATAATAATATTGAATTTAAATTTAAATTAAATTTAAATTAAATTAAACTTAAATTATATTATTACTGAATAACGAATAAAATACTCGGCCGTGAACGAACCTTGGTGTCCTCTGCTTGGCCTGTGGCTGCGGTTTGTAGCCGTTGGGCACAGGGCTTGGCAATAGGCGGCCACCCCGACCCATCGCCACCGCTTGCTCGAAGCTTAGGGGGCAGTGGCTCGGTTGCATGGGAGGCAGATGCTGGCCGGGTGGCGGATGCTGGATACCGGCTGGGATCGGCACGTGTATGTGCGAGCCGTGGGTAGGCGAGGCGTTCAATTTCGGGAAATTGATGTTCGCCGGTTTGAGCTGAAGCGTCGAGGGTTTGTTGGGGGTTGGGGGTAATCGACGGCCACGCCCTCGCCTCGTCACCAGCACCGGGTAACTGTGTTGATGGGGATGATGCCGATGATAGTGCTGGTGAGTGTGGGGTGGCTGGCGACCACCGATCGGGCTTGGACTCCTCGAACGTTGCTCCAAACTCGTCGTCCCGTAATGGCGGCCACGGTCGATGTGGTGTATCGGGCTCGGCGTCCTCGCTGGGCTCGTCGAAGCGCTCCACGGACCTGACGAACGTATTCGTTAGCGTTTCCAACCTTTACAACGCGCCACGGCTATTTTCTAACTGTCCTAGCGTGTTTCGTTCGAAAGGAGCCGGGATTCGAACGCTATTCCAAGGAACGGTACATAAGAGGGAAGAGAAGCCTGTAACTCGAACCGTTATTCGCGTGGCTTATCGAGTTATTGAGTTAATTCTGGGATTTAAATTACAGGTTTTTAATTACAGGTTTTTAATTACAGGTTTTTAGGGATATCGTGTGTTGGGGTATGCACTATTGAAGAGATCTCGAGGAGGAAAGGCTGTAAGTGCCGGTGATTGAAAATTTTATATTGGAAAGATTGTGTTTAGACATGTTGGAACTGTTTGGAAGCATACGTTTGTAAAATAATATGATGTTTCTGCTAATGGGTTCTACTTGAGTGTAAAGAAGAATTTTAACGAGTATACTTTTGGTCAGAAGCTATTCTAAAAAAGGAACAAAAATTGGCACTTACAGTATTTTGAAAACGAATGGCATAAATTTAGCAGTAAGAAAGTTAAGTTTTGGGGTATGATTAAGAAATGAGATAATTTTTTTTTTTTTTTTTTGGAAGTTTGGCGGCGTTCTTTGAAAGAAGTCTTCAATTTTTTTTGTAAGGAACAGGGATTTCGACAATTCTGATTTTCTAATCTGATTGCATCGACCAACATGCCGCATGCTAATTTCTCTATCTATACATTAATGATTCTAGGGACTGCCTCGTGCAGTATCGAGTAATAAGTCCATTTAACATAAAAATATTAGTAAACATTAGTAGTCAATTTTCTCCTTAGATATGATATTTAAATAAGATAAAAATAAGAATTATTGTTTTCGATTTTTAACATAAAAAACCAGCAAGACATTCATTAAACTTTTCAAAACGTAAGAAAGTGCGTTAAAAAAGTTATTTAAAAGACACAATGATAATTGATAACGGCCTGTATCTATCAAAACAATGATTGTAACTCTGCAAAAATCACAGAAATCGCGTACAGACTTATCACTCGATCCGATAAATAATACAACCAGTGAATTTCTAATCGTAATACCGAAACTTGGATGCTAATTCATCCACTACATGTAGGACATGGTGCTCGTATCCAGTGTGCAAGAGTGCTTGATATCGAAAGCCTGTGTATAACTATATCTCGTGCAATGTCCAATGAGCAAATCAGAAAGATATCGCGGGAAGATAAATAATGAAATGACCATCCATGAAGAAGAAAATAAGACGAAAGAGAAATCGAGAAAGTTTCCTTATTTAATAATTATCGATCCTTTAATCGACGATTAAAATTAAAAAACATTCTCGACATCTTTCTGTCAATCCTGTGAGCGACAAAACGATCGATCGAGTGTCTGTTTTTTTTTCCTTGTGTATATCTGTATATCTGTTTGTTTCGTGTCGATGGGTGGAGAAAATGTGAAAGCCAAAAAGAAAAAAAAAACGACAATTGAAAATACGAATTTGCAATAATAATAATAATAATAATAATAATAATAATAATAATAACGATAGATGGTAATAATAATAATATCAAGTGACGATGATCATGATGATGATAATAATAAAAATTGCTTCGGAAACAGGGAATGAAACGGAGTTGCGAAAGAAATTACCATCGTCGTAATAGTCGCAGTGGTCGTAATAGTCTTTGTAGGCGCATAACAGAACAAAACGAAGAAACATATTACATCGAGTGAACACAGAGCTTCTGCCTCTTGCGAGTAAAAAACCATTTATAGCGACATTCATATATATATATATATTTTTCTTTTTTTTTTTTTTTTTTTTTTTTTTTTCTAAATCGTAACTACGAATCTCTCGTCCAATTATCGAACGCATCGATTCCAATTTAGAAGATCAATATTTGAGATCATCGATTTGAGTCATTTAAGACGAGAATGATTCGTATATATGGGGTAAATAAGAGACGAGATGCGAAATGCGTGTCGCGGAAGAGATTCGTAGGTTGGATTTCGTAAAAAGGACTTATCGTTGCACCGTGTTTTCTTCGACGAAATTATCATTGCTGTCTTGTACCTCGCATCCTGTGCCGATGATTGTACTGTGACGGATGGGGATGATGCGTGTGTCTCTGAATCTCGACGACGTTGCTAACCGTATCGCTAAACCCTGGTCCTTCGTGGTAATAATGACCGTGATGATCGTATCCAGGTCGCCCTGGCGAGTGCCTCCTGAAAAATCCATCAATTCGTTTTTCAACGCGAATTTTCACCATTTCTTTTCTATCGTTCGATGATTTCGCATCGATACTAATTATTTTATTACTTCCCCTCTTCGTTCACAAGCAACGCGGGAAGAAAAATTTCCCCAGATATAAAATAAAGAAAATAAAGAATCGCGTGTATTATCAGAGCGTTTTGAAGCCTTGTTAAGCCGATAAATATATGATTAATAATGTCACGTACCTTAGACTCGGTGAACGCGATGGGTGTCTAACTGGCTGCACAGGTGGATGAAGTCTTTTGCCGGGGTGCGTGAGACTCTCGAGGCTACCGGCACGCGAGTCGCTAACCACGACGTCCTGAAGCTCCATCTAAACGAACATACTCGCCGATTAGGGGTTTCGTCCCGGGATTGCGCTTTGTCGAGGGATTTTTCTTTTTTTTTTTTAAGGAGAATTGGGGGTGTCGCCGGTTCTCTTTGCCTTCGCATAAAAATTATACAAATTGTCCGCGCCTCGAACAAACAACTTTCTCGACTCGAGAACGCCTTTTGCCTCCGAGGAATTTCCGCGCGAAAAGGAATCGTCACCGCGTAAAATTCGCGCGGAAATTCCTCTCAATTCGATTCTTTTTCTTTTTTTTTTTTTTTCTCTTTATTTTTCAATCAAGATAGAAACAAGATATAATAGAAAACAATTCTCTCGAAGATGAGAAGAAGAACAGTCGGTGAGTAGGAGCAGAGAAGTCGATATACAGGCACATATAGTATAATATACGCGCGTGTAAGAAGCATGCAAGAGTAAGAGTTTTTCTTTTTTTCTTTTTCTTTTTCGAGCATGCACATGCTTGTCTGAATATGAGTTCTTTTCTTTCTTTTTTCTCATTTTTTTTTTTTTTGGAGCGGTATACAGGTGAGAGAAGAAGAGAGAGTGTGTGCGTGTGTGTATGTGTATATATATATATATATAACTAACTACTTGTTTTCGTCGACGAGTTTCGTGGACTCGTTTCAAGAGGTGTGTTTCTTACTTACCGGGACACGGGTCATACATGGAATTAATAATACAAAAGAACGAGACGCATGGGAGAACGAGGCAATCGATGATGATATCGGACTCACTCACGAGTGCTTCGTTACTCTCGAGTGTATATAATAATCTCAAAGGCTGAAAGCAGCTAGGGACAAGGGTGGGGTTTCTCTAAAAAAAACGTTCACGTTATAATTATTATTATTTTCTTTTTTTTTTTGTTTTTTTTCTTTCTTTTCTTCAGCTAATAATAATTCACGCTCCTCGTTCTCATTCGTATTTACATTGTGTGCTAAGGTTAACGGCGTTCAAGATCGATTCTATTACGATTCTCTATTTCAAGATCGTAAGGAGTGGTTGGGGTGGTTTTGAACGCGTGTATATCGAGGACACACACACGTATATATCGATACATCCGTGCTTTTTTTTCTTAAATATATCGAATTGTATCGCGATGAAGTAATATCAATCGAATATTTAAACACGTCGATATTATGAAAATATAGAGAGTCTCATTGCAAATAAGAATAAATCGTACATTCTCCCTTTTATATCCAAAAAAAACAATCGTCGTGATCGCAAGAGAATCGCATTTTGCTAATGTAATTTAAATATTCGGATATTTTCTTTCATATTGAATAATTGAAATAAAAAAAAAAATAAATAAAAGAATTTTAACACGGGTATATCGGGTGCTTTTTAGATATAGATACAATAGGGATCTCTAGATACGTGATGGCAGGTATGATCTCTAATATATATATATATATATATATATATATATATATATATGGACACAGTGGATTGTTGATCGTAAATCGATCTTGATCTTTTCTTGATTTGCACGCCACGAAACCCAATAATTCGTACGTATGTGTGTACAACCCCGTACAACCGTGTAACAACGCGAACAAAAAACAGCGTTTTCTTAATCTAAGCTCGCGAGATCTATCTACGTTCTAATTCACTAATATCTATCCCGATCTAAAAATGTGTTTTCTCGACTCCGTTTACAAGGATTTTTATCTTGTCTTGTCGAGCTAAAAGCTAAAGGTGCTGTTGCTTCTTCGTCTAATATGTAATATGAGAGAGAGAGAGAGAGAGAGAGATATCGTGTTCATTGCCGAAAACTAATAAAACGCGACAGATATTGATATATCTCGCCCAGTGTAATTATAACAATTTTGAGGAAATCAGGATTGACAATCTTGATGGAATAGTGAAAGTCATCGTTCTAATTTAATCTTCGTAAGATTTAATTCATTTCATCCGATTTTTATCTGGATATCATTTTGAATTTCTTATTTGTCAATTTGTTGTTGTTATTATTATTATTATTATAGACAGAGATATTGAGATGTAAAATAATGAAATGCATTCTCATTACTACGAATTTATGATGAATATTTTAAATAAAATTATAACAATCAGAAAAGAAAGTTATTAAATTAGTCATCCTAATTTTAATCTACACAGTGTCAAGAAACTATTACAATATTAACATTTTTGATTCAATCATTCCAATAGAATTCAATAATTCTTCTTTCTAACGATCGAAACCTTTCAAAGATCGATCAGAAGAACAACCTCTCCAATCTATAATCAAGATCGAAATCACCGTAAATCCCTCAAATCGTATAATTACCCCCTCCCCGCTCTAACGACAATCGATATCTAAGTATCTAAGAAAGCGTTTAACTCACACACATAAAAATCTATGTATAATTTCTCTTATACGATCGGCTAATAAATGGCAAATTAGCACGAAGATCGAAGCGAATTATCCTCGATCTACCGCGATCTAGACACGTGACTCGAGGATTCGGTCGAAAAATCGTTCTTCTCGTTCGAGCAATCGTCGATATATGCAAAATGAGAAGATAAAAAATCCAAGTAACCAAGTAAAAATACTCGTTTCTCTATCGCAACCGATCGAGGGGGAAAAAGAAAAAAAAAAAAAAAAAAAAAAAAAA